GGGAGAGGATATGTGTGTGTTTCTACCCCCACAGGGCCGCTATGGATTCCAATGCGTCAGACTGAACTCTGTCATGGCATGGCATGGTGACGGCCAGAACTCCTCCGGCCACTATAGTATAACTTTTACTAATGATCTTACTGACAATAGCCTGATTTACACCACTTACCCCTATGTCTTTGTCAAAGGCCCAATCTACTAATAATCCATAGTTCATCTTTTCTAATACAGGTTAGAAAAGAAACTTATTCTGCATCCTGCATTACCACCCAGAATATTACTTCATTGAACATCAGCACTAGTGTGGTACTTAGGAGACAGGCAGACATCCTGATACCTGTTAGTCTCACCGGGAAATGGCAAGGCTCATCAGCTATCGAAGCTTAGAAAGAGCATTGAGCCAATTACGGCCCCCCAAATTTTGGGGAATACTCATTACAGCCATTATCTCAGCTGTTTTTATTCTTACTATTGCCAGCGTCACTGTGGTGGCCCTTTCTGAGTCTGTGCAGATGGCCACATTTGTATACAATATGGCCTATAATGTAACTAGGGAATTCACTATACAACAGCACATAGATCAAAAAATATTAGCTGGACTATAGGCAATAGAGGCAGCCATTGAATATCTAGGAAAAATACAGGACACTATAATATACAGGCAAGTACTTAATTACAATTAGAAGCATAAGTACACATGTGTCACCCCTTTAAAATAGAACAGTAGTCACCATCATTAGATTTGATGTTAAAAAGCATCTATAAGAAGTCTTTCATGATAACCTACTGAAGAAGTAAACATGTTGCAAAGGCAAATTAGAGAGTCCTTACTTGCTATCAATAAACATGAAAAACAGACTACTGCTTAGGATACGGTAAAGGAGCATTTGGAGTGGCTAGACCCCACCACATAGTTTCCTAAAATCAATTGGTACCTGATCAGACTAACCATTGCTGTCATTGTTATTCTCTTTGTTTTTCTTACAGTCTACACAATCAGAACTCGAGCAGTGAACAGGCTTCGCAGACCTTGACCTTTCAAAGCAGAAAGTTCATTGCCTCCCTCTGTCCTCTGCAGCCAGCAAAACAAAAAGGGGGAGATGTGGGGAAGCATGGGACTTGGTTGGAATGTCTGTGAGGAGGATTCTCTGAAAGTTTGGGGACCTCTGAGGGGACCTTGCTGAAGGCAGCAGCCCCTACCTTGACTTTTCCAAACAAGTCCCATTCCCTGGGGTGTTTTGCTAGAATCTCTATGTTTATTCTTTAAAGACCTGACCTTGTAGAAGCATATACTTTCTCAAGGATACTTGCCCTGCTGATTGTATCTAGAGGTTAATTTGAGTTCATGCTGTTGTGACAATAAAAAGCCAATGAGGCAGGTGAACAAGACTGCTTTTAGGACTGAAGTAAAAGAGTCCCTTAGCCCTCTCTTTCACAGAAAACTGTGTTGGAGTAATCTATTCATCTGTCGCTCAGGGGCTGCCTGTCAGCCCTGGCAGAAAGTTCTAGAATGTAAAACCAACCTTTTAAAAGTATACAGTTCAGTGGCATTTAGCACCTTCACAAGGTAGTGCAACTACCACTTCTATTTAGTTCAAAGACGTTTAATCACCCCAAAGGAAAACCTCATAGGCATTGAGCAGTCACTCCCTATCTCCCACTTCCCCACCCCACCCCTGGTTATCACAGCTCTGCTTCCTGTCTCTATTACCTACTCCAGATAATTCTTATCAATGGAATCATACAATATATGACCTTTTGTGTCTGGCTTTTTTTTTTTTTTAACTTGGAGTGAGTTCTTGAGGTTTATTCACTTTGTAGAATGTCTCATTTCTTTAAATAACTCAATAATACGCCATTGAATGGCTCAATAATATGCCATTGTATAACTCAATAATACACTATTGTATGGATAGAACACATATTATTTATTCACTCATCAGTTGATGGATATTGGGTTGTTGCCTCTTTTGGTTGTTGTGAATTAAGCTGCTATGAACCTTCATGTGCAAACAGAAAAGACACCAGAAGGAAAGACAGGTGGGGGAAGGTAGGAGAGGGTAAATGAGTGATAAATGGTGATGGAAGGAAACTTGACTTGGGGTGGTGAACACATAATACAATATATAGATGATGTATTATAGAAACCTATATAATTATTAACCAATGTCACCCCATAAATTCAATAAAACAATAAATGAGTAACACTGATTTATTATGAGTAATAAAGCAAGGAGAGAGAGAGAGAGAGAGAGAGAGAGAGAGAGAGAGAGAGAAAGAAATAACACCCAACTTGTTCATTCACTTCCTTGTCCATTTGCTCATTATTTTATTTATTTGTTCACTAAGAAACATAACTTCATTCTTAGCACCGGTTGAGATGCAAGTATGAGCACCAGGTCCTATTCTGTAAGGGATTAGTAGCAGAATATTGAACCGTGAGGCACAGTAATGAGTGTGGAACACAATGTGTGAGGTGCCCCTCATCCCATCCCAGCTCCCCACTCAGAGCACACACTCCTGTACTCAGAGCTCTTTTCCTGTTGGAGGAAATGGGGCTACAAGGTGAAAAAGATTTAGAGAGATTTGTAGAGGAGAAGTGAGTTTTCAGACATGGAATCCATGCTCCCAGGGCAGGAGGGCCAAGCCCAGTGGGGTAAGGCATGGGGGAGGGGGGGTGACTTTAAGAGGCTGTGTGCTGGGCATTGTGTCCTGCTTTCAGCTACAGCCCTCCCTAGGAATGAAATGGAACCTGGAGGGTTAGAGGATGGGCCCCACATTCCACATTCAACAAGGGCAGAGCTGCTGTGACCCCCTCTGAGCCTCTCTTGGGCTCCACCCTGGCTGAGATGGCAGCAGGCAGATGGGCCAAGGGAAGAAGCCAATCCCTAGAAGGGAGCATTAGAGGTTGCCCATCCCTGGCACTCAACCATGGAGGCCATGAGAGCTCTGAGGTGGGGGAAGCGACACCCCATCACCAAGCACGCATGCCTCCTAAAGCACTAATTTAGTTTGTTTGTGTTTGTTTTAAATTTTTTAACTGTTTAAAGTATTACTGAAGTCCCCATTTCCCCCCTTTGCCCCCATCCACCCAGCCCGATTTTGCATCGTAGTATCACCAGGATATCTAGCCCTGTACCTAATGCCACATGAAGTGAAGCTTTAAGGACTAGCAGTTTGGCCACTCCTTACTGCACTCAAATTCCTCCTCTCCTTGCATCTCACATTCATTCTACCACATTCTGTCCTAAATGCAGGGATGTGGTGAAGGAGATCGACAACCAATCAGATTCTTTACTCATGGAGCTTAAATTCAACTGCACAGAAACAGATAATAAAAATTAAATGCACAATATGTGGTTAATGGATCAGAATAAGTGCCACAGAGGTAATAAAACATGGAGAGTGTTGTCAGGGGCTGTCATTTAAGGCGGATGGTCAGGGAGGAATCGCTGAGCCAGGTCTGTGAGTAAAGCTGTGAAGGAGGTGAGGGGTGTGCTCTGGGAAGAGCAGTGACAGGGCCTTGGGGAGGCAGGGGGACTGGGGTGGAATCAGACCAGTGAGGAGCCAGTGTGGCCAGAGTCCAGTGACTGTGGGGAGGAGGATAAGGAGATGAAATCAGAGAAGTAAGCAGGGGAGAGAGGGCCCTGTGGGCCGCTGTGAAGTGTGTAGTTTTCCTCTGAGGGAGGTTCATGGCCTTGGGGGAACGCTCACTGAATCCCATTCAGGCAGGTATCTAGATGCTGAACAAAGGGAATTGTGCCCATAAATACAGCCCCCAAAACAGAGTCTAGGTCTCACTGGCCCTCCATGATACATCTGGGCATCGCCAAGGGACCCTGGCTCCACCCTCCTCTTCTGCTCAAGGGTCTCCCGTTCAAGTCCATCTTGACCTTGATGGCAACTTCTTGGGAGCCATGCATCGGAATCTGCAGGGCAGGTGGTCACAAGTCCAACCAGACATACTTGGATCAGGGTCTGAGGCTGCCCCAAGCTCTCCAGGAAATTCTGGACCCATAAGGGTTACGTGACTGAAGTGCCTGGGATTAGGGAACCAGTGTGGAGCGTGGTCCCCAGTCTGACTGGGCACCGTTCTCTCTCCAAGCCCCAACCCAAGGCCAGGCTTGGAATGTGCATGAGGCACCTGCAGAAGAGAGGGAGGTCTCAGCCATAATCCATGCCACAGTTCAGAGGGAAAGGCTCCCTCTGGGTTCAATTCAGGCCCCACTGGGAGCTAAAGAGAGCTGGGATTCTCCAAGAGAGAGCTGGCACCTTGCATACCACCCTTCTTCTGGGTCCACTTCCAGGTGGCCCTCTTAAGCCCCAGCCCATTCGCATTGGGAGCCACCTTCTCTCTGTAAGGGACAGATGAATACTTCCTTGTTCCTCACCCCAGAAAGCTGGCAATGTTACCTATTATTTCCAGCTTAAATGTCTTCTTCCTTCAAACAAAATGCAAACTCCACAAAGATAAAGGTCACACTGGATCCCTCCTTAGCCCAGCCCAGGGCCACAAATGTCCCTTCATCCTTGTTGCTGGTTTATTGAATTTTCTCTTAATGTCAATCAGACCCAGAATCTCCCCTATGGGGGGTATTCATCTTTGCCCACCTCTCATGCAGTAGAATTTAGTTAGATATTTCACAATCTGCACAGAAATCATTACATCACAATGAACAATTGTAAGTGCCACAGCTTGGTTCTAGAGGGCCCCAAATACCAGTCGTTTACCCATGATTTGCTCATTCTTGGGGTGAGAGGAAAGAGAACATCCTAGGGGAGGAATCCTGACAGCTAGGAGAGAGGCAAAATCACCTCAGAGCTCAGGGCAGCCTGTCATTTGCCAACTGGTAACGAGGTGCTTTAGGTGGACTGAATGTCTAGGGGACTTCTTCCCAAGGAGGTGGGTTTCCATTTCCAGGGCTTCCACGGCAGAATATCCAGAGTTGCTGAGTTGGTTACAATTCCAGTGCCCACCCATGCCCACCAGGACAGCCTACCTGGATCCCCCTTCTCGCCCCGGGGGCCGTCTCTCCCATCTCGTCCATCACGACCAGGCAGGCCGTTCTCCACAGGGCTACACATGACCAGGGTGCAGGCATCAATCAAAGGTTTCCGGGAAAGGGTCTTCACTTCTGTTCCCCATGACGTTGGAGGCTGTGTGAGCAGGACCAGCACAGAGAGGAGAAGAAGCATGGCCTTCAGGGTGGACAGAAAGAGAAAGGACGTGCTCTTGATTCCAGAACATGGGTTAGTGCTTAGCCCAGCGCCTGGAAGTCAGAGAGGCACTTTCCTACCCCCTCGCCCCTTCTGTGGGATCAGGAGCAGCAGGACTCCAAAAGCAATTTAGGACAAGGAGGCCATACAGTCTGGCCTGGGAGGGCATGAGTTACCCAGCTGAACTCTGACATGGTTATCAGCAACATCTACCTCTTCTCAGATGCCCTGTTTTGTCCCTTCTAGTGACTTTCCTTTCACTGCCTTCGGCACGGCTAGGATGTGAACTCCTCACTGAGGCCACCTGTCACATCAGGAAGGAGTCATGAAGTGTTTTTGGGCAGGACAGTTCCCTCTTTGAACCTCTGTCTCCCTGTCTGTATCAGTAAGGTGGCTGGGCAATCCCATTTCCTGTCACTTGTAGCCTTGAACAGACTAGCACTGACAGTTCAGGTGCTTGTCTGGAAAGAGCCAGAATGCTCAGTGACATCTGTCCTAACACAAGATGGGCACATGGCTACATGCTTGCCAGGTGGTCTGCCCTTCCTGGACTAGACGCTGTCTCCATGAAGAAAGTTCTAGGGGGAACCCAGGAAAAGTTCTCAGAATAGCTGGAAAGATCCTGGGATGCCTAGAGTGCTGCCCCTCCACCTGGGACGACTTGGGAGAGAGGCCTCGTGGAGGAGGACATGTGAGGTGAGCTCCATCAGGGGAAGGGTGGCTTTAGGTGGAGAAAAAACAGATGTTCAATAGGGTGTCCAGTGACATATGAGAGGGACTCTACAGCTAAGTGAGGTCAGGGTGGGTGCAGGACCTGGTCACTCCCAATGGTGGGCTTCTTTCCTCTTGAGAGAAACTGTAAAGTTAGGAGCCAGGAAAGCACGCATGGGACTGGCAGAGGCTGGGAACAAGCCTGAGGGACGGAGCAAAGGAGAAGGGATCTCCAGGCAGCCTGAGGGGGAGGCAGTGGAGGGCCTTCCTGGCCACAGAAGTGCTTTCTTCTCCACCTGCTGGTGGTTCTGGGCTGTGGAGGACCCTGTTGGCACCAGTTCTTTCTCATTCTGAGTTTACTACTTCCTCGGGCATCATGGGAGTCTCTAAACTCCAGGCAAGCTCACAGGCCAGCAGCGTGGCACTTGCTGGGGCAGAGGCTCGGCCATGAGCACCAAAGGCTCCAGCCAGAGCCAGGGCATTGCCCCCTGGTGTGCAGCTGCCACAATTCAAGGGCCCTCTGCCCACATCTGGGGAAGAATGAAAAGGAACAGACATTCTGCCCAACAGCTCAAGATGGCACAGAGGGCACTACAACTCATTGTAGCAGAAAGGGGTCTGGGCAGGAGCCCTCTTACAAGGTTGGAGACCTAGGATGTAGATGAGGCCTCTTCGCTGGGCCTATAGAGGTATTGGGCAGAGCCACATCCCCTTAAATCCATATAGTGTTTTTCTGCCTCGATTTCAGACTAAAGTATTATTAAAAATGACTCCTCTAAAAATTAATTGGAAATCAGTAAACATATCCAGTGGGTCTATTTTTAAAACAAAGAATTGAAGCTAAGAGGAAAGCATGTTTATCCATGTCCAATGGGCAGTTGGTAACAGGATGGACTTTGACCCTGGGCCTGAGAAGGCCGGGGCTGTTTCTCCTCCACCACCTTCCTTTCTGAAGAAATCAGGGGTGGAGAGAGCCAAGCGAGAAGTTGAAATTGCATTCCCACCTGAGGCTTCCTGACAATGGCATTTGGGGTCCGGGTGGGTGTCATATCCCACTCACCCCCCGCCCCCAGCCCAGAAGGCTAATCTCCCACTGAGCAAAGGAAGCAGAGTGAGGGGCAGAAGAATGGTCCTTCTTCCTCCACTAGGCTGCCCTCTCATACCCACACCCACACCCACACCTCCCAGAGCAGAAGAACTACATAGACCCTGTCTTCCTCAACACCAGTACATTAGAGCACCCCAAGCGGGCAGGGGGACATTCGTTGGACACAGAGAAAACAAAAAGAGAGGCCGGCACTGACACTCACCTTTGCTTCCTTGAGGGCTCAGGGTCTCCAGGCAAATGAGCGCTTCCCTGGCACGCAATGGCTATTTATGCTGCCTTGTTACCTGAGCCACCAGGTGTTGGTCTTTTAAGAACTCTTTTAGACAATTTTCTTCCTTGTTGCCTCACTGACTCTCACCCCTACCTGGGTCTGGAAACTTGCCACTATACACATGTCACCTTAGAGTTTACAGAGCACCCTCAGTGCATGACCTCATCTGCACCTCACTGAGCTCTGTGCCTTAAGCGGCATCATCAGTGTCTGGGTTTTATTGATTTCCAGGAATCCGAGGTCCTGAGAAGAACAAAGCCAGGGAAGCAGAGTGAGGGGCAGATGAGGAAGCAAGTTGCATAATAACGTACAACTATTGCAAAAGCATATGCACTTGCATATTTCAAGAGCAGGGCTTGCTGAACCAACTTTTCTTTGTCCTTCACCTCAACATTACTACCCAGATAGTGAGAAAGAGCTGGGAGCTTCTTGGCATTTCTGGGCAGGGGTGGAGGAGCTAGAGGGGTTGCAGAGGCTGCAGCATTCTGTGAGGACAGTGGCAGGGGAGCTGCCACCTGCAGGGGTCACTCCTTTGCTTCCTGGTGTAGATGTTGGAGAGCCCCTCACTTGCTTTTTATGGGATGGAGTCCTTACATCCTTGCCTTCATCTCTCTACTTCCTTAGCTGGTGTTTCCTCTGTGTATTGCTCTAGGAAGCAGTTTGGACCCCTGAGCTGCTGATACACTATTGCGGGCATCCCCCTAAAAACTCTGACTTCCAGTGGCCATGGAGCAGTTGCCTGCCCTACTGCTGTTGCTGTCATCTCCGCTCCCTTCTGGATCCCTGTGGCTTCACCTCTTGCATCAAGCCTTTGCCTAGGTCCACACACCAGCTGCCGAATGCCTGCAATGCTCTCCTTTGGCCACTCCATTGGTGGTGCCGACTGCTCCTGGGTGTAGTTGCTGCTGTGGCATCCCCTTGTGTATTGTAGAGGCTATTATGCCCATTTCTTCGGCTGGTATGAGATGGTTGTTTCCCATACTGCAATATATATTTTTAAAATATATTTTTATTGATTTCATAGAGGAAGGGAGCAGGGGAGAGAGATAGAAAGATCAATGATGAGAGAATCATTGATTGGCTGCCTTCTTCATGCCCCCTATTTGGGATCAAGCACACACTCAGGTCATGTGCCCTTAACTGGAATCAAACCTGGGACCCTTTAGTCCACAGGCTGATGCTCTATCCTCTGGGCCAAGCCAGTGAGGGCTATACTGTAATTTTTTGAAGCAGGATCCTATAGTAGAGTCTCTTGTGCCCCAAATGATAAAACTCATTATTAACATCCCCATTTTAGGATGTTCATGTGCCTCCCTGAGATCTGGATCAGCATGGAGGCCGAACTGAACTGAACCATTGCTCTCCACTCCCCCATAGAGCCTATCTGACAAATCTTAATCTGGTAGCTACACAAACTCCTATTTATGGTGACTTTTATGCAACTTAGCTTCTATTCACTGCTACTTCCTAGCCTATTAAGTACTCCCTCTCAATGCCCTAGCATCCCACTATAACACAGACTATAGTGTTTCCTTCATCTAACTCCACATTACAACAGGGTCTAATTTTATTTATGACCCAACCCAGACACTCCTGTTACAATGATAACCTTTGCCTTCCTCAGTTACACCACCACGACTGAGAAGACTCAGATCTCAAATGATGATCACAATGGCTTTCATGAATAAGAACCAGTCAGAAATGAAGATCACCATAGCTGACATCAAAAATACATTGAAAAAAATTTAAAGTAGGCTGAATGAAGCAGAGGATAGAATCAGTGATTTGGAAGACAATGTAGAAAAAATACTCAATCATAGCAACAAAAACAGAAAAGAATTTTATTAAAAAAAAGATAGTGTAAGGGAACTTTGGGACAACATGAAACATAACAATACCCACAAATTGGGGTACAAGAGGGAGAGGAGAGTGAGCAAGGGAGAAAGAACCTGTTTGAAGAAAGAATGAAAGGAAACTTCCTAACCTAGAAAAGGAAATGTCATACAAGTTCAGAAAGTCCCAATAAACATGAGGACAAAGAGGCCCACATCAAGATACATCACAATTAAAATGGAAAACTTTAAAGACAAAGACAGAATATTAAGGGCAGCAAAAGAAAGACAGTCATTTACCTATAAGTGAGCTCCATAAAGCTGTCAGCTGATTTCTCAACGGAAACACTATAAGCCAGAAGTGAATGGCATGAAGTATTCAAAGTCATGAAAAGCAAGGATCTGAATCCAAGACTACTCTAGCCAGCAAAGCTATCATTCACAATTGAAGGTGAAATAAAAAGCTTCCCAGACACACACACAAAAACAGACAAAAAGCTAAAGGACTTTATTACCACCCAACCAGGATTGCAAGAAATGCTAAAGAGACTATTGTAAGAAGAAAAAGAGAGAGAAGAGAGGGAACATAGGCATAAACACTAAAAATGGCAGTAAATACAATAAAGAAGTACCTACTTACACTAATAAAAGCCTAGGTGGCCCTCGTATCCTTGCAAGACACCCTCACATCATCACAAGATGTCTGCCCCATGTCATCACAAGATGGCCGCCACAAGATGGATGGCAGTGGAGGGCGAACAGGCTGGCATGGGAGGGTAGATGGGGGTGACCAAGCCAGCAGGGGAGGGCAGTTGGGAGTGAACAGGCTGCCAGGGGAAGGCAGTTAGGGGCAACCAGGCCTGCAGGGGAGGGCAGTTGGGAGTGATCAGGCTGATAGGGGAGAGCATTTGGGGGTGATCAGACTGGCAAGGGAGGAGTCAGGTGTCAATCAGGCCGGCAGGGGAGTGGTTAGGGGGCGATCAGGCTGGCTTGCAGAAGTGGTTAGGGGCAATCAGGCAGGCAGGCAGGCGAGTGGTTAGGAGGCAGAATTCCAGAATTGTGAGAGAGATGTCCAACAGTCGGACATGCCCTGAGGGGTCCCAAATTGAAGAGGGTGCAGGATGGGCTGAGGGACACCCACCCAGTGCATGAATTTTGTGCACTGGGACTCTAGTCTATATATATATATATATATATCTCAAAGTGACCGGCCAACCAGACACTGACCATCAGGGGGCAGACACTCAATGCAGGAGCTATAGAGCAATAGCA